ATTCAAACAAGTTTGAATTCGTGCGACCAGTCGCAGGGACCAAATTTTGGTCCCTGCGACCACAGAAATGTGTAGTTCACACGAAGGGACTAGTCGCATGAAACTGGTCGCTGGGACTAGTCGCAGGGACTAGTCCCCTCGTGTGTGCCGACCTTAAAAGCGGAGCTCCCAAGTTAAGTTCGTAATATTAATGATAATATAAAAGATGTGCATTGGCCAAGACTCGCCTGAGACACCTCTCCCTTTGTTTTGATAGTCTCCCCTACCCTACCCATGCAATCTGAAGGCACGTACACTCGGTCAGTCACGTGACAACCAAACAAAAAGAGGTTGACCATATTCCATGGGTATGGGGCTCTGCCCCACCCGCGCGTGGGAGCCCCGCTATCACATGTGTGAGAGGTTAGTAAGTGTAGAACATTGGTAATTCAAATTGGACTGCAGATTTCGATTCGGTGCATGTTCGCCCACATTTGCATTCAAAAGATCTCATACCCCGCATCAACTAAATTCGAAATGATAAATTACCAATGTAGATGTCATTGGAGGGTCTCTATGGGGTGATGGCTTTTACAGCTAAAGGTTAAAACTTTGGCCAATTTACGGCTTACAGTTAACATATTTCCATTATTGTCACCGAAATGTTTTTTTACGACTGAAGGTTTAAATTAACCAATTTGCACTATACTGAGACCCTCCTATTGCATAGGAAAGTATTCCAAAGGTTGGCAACTTTCATTGAACGATTTTAACGCAGCTTTAGTATTTGTAAGCCACCTATTGACGACGAAACCATTTCAAAAAAAGAAAAACAATCTTCTTTAATACCGGATGCTCAGATCTGTTGCAATCGAATAAGTTTAAGAGGATACAAATTACAGGATTAAGCGAGACCCTTGAACATGTTTCCTCGTCCAAAAACAGGCTTAACAGGTCTTCTGCAGGCGACAATTAGCAAGAAGAGCCGGCTTGTTAGCTTCTTGGATCATTTGATAAGAGCTAATATCCAAGTTTCCATAATATGAAGCAATCAGGAGCATCATTACTCCACCAGGATGGACTCCTACGTTTTTTTGTCTTTTTTTTTTGTTGTATTACATCTAAGCTTTCCTTTTACCACGGCAAAGTGTTGGTTTGGGTGCTCTTTGAGACGATCCTGTGTACTCACATTGGTGTTTTTGACGCTTCCTCTTAGCTTTTTCTTCCCTTTGTTGATCGGAACTTTTCGCTTTCGTGCTATCGAAGCACTTTCTGGAGCACTAAGGGATGCTCAAGCATTTACTATTAATGTAATTGTATCAATCACTTCTTCGTCTTCAGTGCTATTGTTTTCAGACTGATTTAGTGCTTCCATTTGTGCTCTCAAAAAACTAAAGCCGGTTTCGAATTGTAAATAAATTCAGCAGTACTAGTGTAAAACCTAGACATCAGATGATTTAGAAATCTGAGATGACACGCACATGATACATCAGCCAATCAGAAACTTCTGTTTTCACGCTCAGTAGGGATAAGTCCACGTGCCTTTCCATGACAACGGTCTGTTATTCTTGACCAGTACATCATTAGTTATTCAAATTTATGACCTGGAACACGATTTCTCGTTGCGAGCGACACACAGTTTTCGCTTTAAAATGTTTTAGAAGACATATGTTGCTCGAAATGTGAAATATAGCTCAATGTTGCCCAAAGTGCGAAAAAGTGCTTGAGGTGGCTCGTACCGGTTTTCGTCTTTTTGATGGTTTGTAACTTTGAAGGAATACAACAAAAAGACTGACCAAGGCTAGTCGAACACTTTTACGGGGTTGAATTAAATAATCATTGGTTATTCAAAAATAGGTGTCATTTCGTCACTAGCAGTTTCCATGGCAACGCTTTCATAGGCTTATTCAGACGCATTTTTTAGCTTGTGGCTTAAACAATTCGAAAACTAACCCGGTGACCCCATGATTTTTTTCAGTGATTGCTTTTGGCACTTGAAAAGGAAAATACACATAGATTTTTAAAAAATTCTATGGAGCGGAATTTCAGAAAATCTAGAAAAAAGGTAATTTTCAGACACCGCAAATTTCCTTCCGCAGAATTTTCTAGTTTTTTTTCTGATGATTCCTTTCGACGTTATTATCATATTGGAACAATAAAAAGAAGGGGTCACCGGACTTGTTTTCATGCAATAGCTTTCGTGAGTGTAGCAATTTCCACGCGCGTTCTCGCGCATTTAAAAATCTGGATTCTATAAGATCGACATTTGCTCATGATCTGTTATAGCTACCGCTGACAATTGCGTGTGCTCGCGCGCGCGCCTACGATCTGATGTTTACAGACGTTTACTGCTAATTAAGAAAATCATTAAACAGCTGTCAAAGATAGCCTCCCGGGCTCATCTTAAAAATCCTACACACGACTTCTGGCTATATCATATTATTTTNCCTCGGTCTTTTTTGTACGGACCTCACGGCGCTCGGTTCGTACTGTCAAGACCTCGGGCCGATATTCTCCCAGTTCGGCCCTCCTGCTTGGTTAATAAGATATGTTTAAACTAGTTTCGAAGCAAAGCATATAAAGATGACTCATATCGAAGATGTTACATTTTAGATTACAAGAACTTGCTTGAGATTACACAAATTTCGTATAAGATCAAAATGCATCAATCATTTTGGGTCACAGGCCTCCATTTTTAAAAATCGTGATTCTCCGTCTCAGAAATAACAGTTTATTCGAGAGACCATACAACTTGAATTTTTAGCGCATAACTTTGCGTGAGGAAAACTAGTATGGAAAAGGTTGTTGCATCACAAGCTTCCCCCAGGGCTGAATAAGACCTTTGTCAAAACCGGCGCTAATCACTAATGAGACCAACGTCATGTTTTCAATTTATCCTCAAAGGAAGGATGGGAATAATAATGATGATGGAGGAATAGTTTCGTCTCTACTCTGCCCTGAGAGGGAAAAGAAATTTCTCCTTCTCCCAGTGGCGTATGACGCTCACATCTTGCCAACCTTGTGAAAAATTTGTTGAAGAGAAGGCAAGAGTTAAGGGAGCGTTGGTTTCAGATGATAAGTGTCTAGAAACCTTAAAAGTTTAGTGTTACGCAATATCCTTACGGCACCTTGTAGAGGTCTTGTTTATTGATGCCCATTCACAAGTTAAACCAACAATGTCGTAATGGTTATCGAGTATATCATACCATTTTTCTTTTTACGGAAAATAATTCTTAGGAGGAGAATTTGTTTTCTTTTTGCGACGGAAGTTTTGAACTCTTTGAATCAACCATTATAAATTGATATGCAAAGCACAACATGTTCTATTGTGAATAGGAAATTAGGGTTTTCCATGTTGAGGAACCTCTCACTCGTTCGTTTTGAAACTCTAGGGAGATATAAATATCAGTCGAGGAGTAAGATTTGTATCCACTCATGGCCAAGTGAAAGGCTATCCTTGTTTGGGAAGTGCCTAAATAGAGAGCCTGTACAGCCGTCGCTCGATTTAAGCGAGCCAGCGCACGCGAGCTACACAAGCGAAGTCAGGCAAAGAAGTCACGCGGCTATAAATAACACTTAAATTTTCAAAGGGCCACAGGAAATCTGGTGAAAAGCGATTAGCCGGGATAAATAAGCCAAAAATTAGATGAGAGATGGCATAACTACTAGAACCAATTTTGACTAGGTTTGCATGATTCTCAC